TTTCTCTTTAATATATTTTATTGATATTTTACAGAGAAGAAGGGAGAGGGATAGAAAGTCAGAAACATCGATGAGAGAGATCGATCAGCTGCCTCCTGTATGTCCCCCAGTGGGGACGTGCCCGCAACCAAGGTACATGCCCTTGACCGGAATCGAACCCGGGACCCTTGAGTCCGCAGGCCAACGCTCTATCCACTGAGCCAAACCGGTTCGGCTTGAAATGAGATATTTTTCATTCCTAATGTTCATAATCCTTTTATGTAGTCTCTTTCTAAATTCAAGGAAAATACACTGAAAAGGATGTCAATGTCACTATCATAATCATTCTCTAACTATGAATTCCTCCCAAGATGCACTTAGAGAAATGTATGTAAGTACAATTAAATCTACATATTGGGTAATTTTAGCTGAATTTTTTATTTAATTGTGAATTTGCATTAGTTAGACTTAGAAAAATGAAGAACCTTATTTCCAAGTGGAGGAACACATTTTTTTTTTATTTAAAGGGGGTGGGGAGGAAGAGAGGGAGAGAGAGAGAGGAGAGGGAAACATCCATTGGTTGTTTCCCACACAGTGTAGTGCTCCAACCAATGGAGCCCCCATTTGTCAGGGCAGAAAACATTCTTTAAAGGAAATGTGTAAAGCTAAATCATTTGTTTTGAGCAGACCTAAAGGTAACAGTTGTTTTGTTTTTTGTTTTTCCCACCCAGGCCTCTACCCTGGTTTGATCTGGCTTCTGTGCAACTCAGGGAAACTCCCTTTACCAGGAAGCTCTTAACCTGTACTAGTCTCCAGGACCACATTATCCATTTCTACTGTAATGAATTTGGCCTCTCCTTTACCAAAGAACAGCCGCCAATGGTTTCCAGAAACTGTCTGTTCTAATCAGAGAAGATACCTCAGGACTCAGAATTCTTTCTCTCACTACAATGGTCATATCAGATCATCACAACTGACAGTGGGGACTCATGGGACTGCTTGCAAAAGTTAGGCAATCAGGAATTAGAAAATGGTACTGATGGCTCTTTATAATGTAGATTAAAATGAGAGGTCCTTTACATTGGTATATGTGTGTATCTGTGAAACTACATAACCCAACACAATTCAGTAAGCTGCTTCCCCATGAGAGCCTTGTTAATACAAATTATCTCTCTTCTAAAAGCTGAATTTAAGGAGGTATAATGTCATTATTAGCTTCTTTTCCTGTAGTGGCATATAGCCGACAAATGATACAGCTTCACTTTCCTACCATTTTAGATAGAGAAGAAAAATGTGTGGTAAACAACTTAACTGTGACTCATCTCATGCTTATTCCAGCTATATGTGACTTGGTACTATCTTATTTAAAAAGCTCTCATTTAAAGCATTTTTAACCATACAAATATTTTTTTTAAATAGCTGGCATTTTTATTAAGTGGCTAAAAGTACTTTTGTAAAATAGAGATCTTATTTCTATAGTGCAAGTTTATTTCCTTTATGTTGTAAATACTTTATGTCAATTATAACACAGCAGGAAAGAGCAGCAGTGACCACTAAGTGGAGAAAGAGGAACAAAACATTGTGTGCCAACTGCTAAAGTGCTTTTGAACAAAGCCATTCACTCCATAAGTAAACCACCATGGCCCTACCTTAATCATTCACACTTTTCTTTTCTGCATAATTATGACTTAGGCAAATTCAATAGTATTGAATTATTTGAGATAAAAATGTTAGTTCAATTTAAGGGAAAATCAGGCTCATCACTAAATATATATGTTTTTAAAATGTATTTTTATTGATTTCAGAGAGGAAGGGAAAGGGAGAGAGAGATAGAAACATCAATGATGATAGAGAATCATTGATTGCCTGCCTCCTACATGCCCCACACTGGGGATCAAGCCCGCAACCCCGGCATGTGCCCTTTTCTGGAATCGAACCTGGGACCTTTCAGTCCACAGGTTGATGCTCTATCCACTGAGCTAAACTGGCTAGGGCTCATCACTAAATATTAACATTCTGTGTGAATGCTAATTTGAGGCACTGTTCCTTCTCTCAGTAGAAAAAAAAAGAAATGTATTCCTTTGACTATTCATTCAGGTGTGGGGAACTGGACAGGATACATCTTTGCCCTTCTGGATTATGGTGGCCCTTTAGTGGTTTTTAGGATTAAGAAGTGAGACTGGGGGGAGAGGGGGGGAGAGCAGATAAATCTATAAAAGTAGAGAGGAACTGGAGTTATTCGAGTGACAAAAAGTATTTTGTAATTTCTTTTGAGCAGTCCAGTCATGGGTAGACTCTGGCCTGAATTTTATTTTATAAAGGTCTGGCAGGTACCACATAAGAGCCTTTAAACAAACCTCAGCCCCTAGTTCATAAGGGTACTTCCATAGCCATGCCATTTGTAAGGATAAATACAAATCTAAAAACAGATTTAAAAAAATATTTCTCTGATGCTGAAATATTTCTTTAGAAAACTTGTAATATAAATCCCTTTTCTCTGTTTTTGAGTTGTATATAAATATTTTAAAAAGCTGAATAAGACTTCTGACAATTTTATATCCCAGGACTGATTTTCTGGGGGGCCTTGGAGCCATCTCTGAAATGTGAACACCCGGTCTCCCTGAATCTGTGGGAGTTTAGCCTAGTGCCTGGCTCCAAATAATAACTTCTTGTTTGTCATGGAGATGTGAGACACAGACAGTTAACATGTATGCAATATGTGCCTGGCTATATAAAGGGGTGATTTTTCTTGGTCTTTTCAATCTCTTTAGCAGCTCGCTTGTGATGTGCATCACAGTCTGATTTAATACTCATTCAATAATAAATTTTTTTTAAAAAAATACATTTTTTATTGATTTCAGAGAGGAAAGGAGAGGGAGAGGGTGAGAGAAACATTAATGATGAGAATCATGGATTGGCTGCCTCCTGCATTCCCCCACCTGGGGGTTGAGTCTGTAACTTGGGCATATGCCCTGACTGGGAATTGAACCATGACTTATTGATTCATGGGTCCATGCTCAACCAGGGAGCCATGCCAGCCGGGGCAAAATTGGCGTTTTTTTAATTGATTTTTTTTTTTTTAGAGAGTGAGGAAGGGTTGGGGCGCAGAGAGGGACATCGACTTGTTTATACATTCATTGGTTGATTCTTGTATGAACCCTGACTGGGAAACAAACCGATAACCTTGGTGTATTGGAACTAAGCTCTGACCAACTGGCCTACCCGGCCAGGGCATTATCTTTGTTCTAATGACAGGCTAAATTGAAACAGAAATACAGGAATGTACTGTGAGTTGGAGACAGATCTAGGAATAGTGCCAGGAGTTCTACTCTGATTCTTAATGAGGAGGAGAAAAAGAAAACCCCAAAAGACCACACTTCTTCCACCAAGTAATTTAGTTTGATCTTTCAAGCTAAGTGAAATGGCTTTTCTCTGTGGCTCAGTATAATAGAATGCCTAATAATCGTCAGGGGCAGTTATTTTCGGCTCATAATCTTGTAATCCTGCTTTTTGCACAAATTCAGAATAGGTCAAGGAATCAGATGTTTCGCCAGTATGACCTTTTTGTTCTAAAAATAAGCCAATATTGTCCCTATGGGGAAGACGGATGGAGCGTTTAAATAATGGTTCTTCAAATCCCAGTAGTTCCCGCGTATGCCGAGAAATTGCCTGAAATACAAGGATAATTTTTTAATGGGACTAACCTGAAAATACAACTAAATCAAAGCAGTTCTACTTACTGTCGTAGGCCTTTTGAATGCTAATCTCTTAAGCTATTTCTATGGGAAATTTAAATAACGAAATAACACTGTGAAAGGCTTACTAGCCTGGCCTTCTCAAAGAAAGATCTTGAGAAACATAGCATGATTTCTCTTTTTAAGAGTCCTATTTAAGGGTGTTTCTAGGCCCTTGCATGGCCATGGATGGGTTAATTTATTTTCTTTTGAGCAATCTGACCAATCATCTGAGCAAATAATATGTTCAGATTAGCAGCTCTGACTATCTCTGGGAAGTTTAATAAATAACTTGTCTATAGGGAGCTCAGTTAATCTACAGTTATAAGACTAAAATTCATGCCACAGACAACTCTAAACCTGATACAAAACTGCCCATTAGCCATATATTTCAGATAGGAAAGATAACTTTCTTCTCAAATCTTCCTTGAATTGGTTTTGTTTACACTCTAAAGATGGTCTGTGGGTAAGAGAGAGTTGCCTTGCATTTCCAGTGGGACTACTAATTAAGGTCTGTAGCAAGGGGTTTCTAAGAGTTCAGATCCACATTACTACAAGTGGCTTTTAAGAATTCCCATTTGTAACGGATGTTGCTACATTGAGCACCTTGCTTGGTCAGCACCTCACCCTGACTCTCCTTTTGAATGTCCCTTAGCAGCAGGAGTTATTTCACAAATTCACTGAGGTTTACAGAAATGTGGCTATTGTAAAGGCCAAGAGGGTCCAGTATTGTTTAATATTCTAATGTAGAAATAAAGTGTGTTGTAAAGCAATTAGTTACATGTGGAATCAAGAAATATAATCTGATCATTTTTCTAATTCAATGATTCTTAAAGTATATCTGAGGTGTACTGATGGACCATGAGGGCTACAAACTGATCTAAAACTGTGAGTTCTTTCTTTAATTTTGATTAATAACAAACAATAGACTTTATTTTTGCCTAAGGGTTAGAGCAATTTACTAGTAACTTGAGTTAGGAAGGATTATTAAAACTATGTATTCAGGAAGATTAATATTAGAGTTTTCCAAAGATTTTTAATTCCATATTCTAGGATGGTGGCCCATACTTGATGCTTGCAGAGTACCTACTTCACATGGTCTCAAGTAGGAATTTGTATCACGTATAGTTTTCAAGAAGATTCTAATTATTCCTATATCATCATTGTATTGTGTGTTGATCATGATTTTCAAAGGATGCTATTTTTGCTTTTATTTGTAAACAACTGATAGTTTTGCGTCATCATTATCAATTTATTAGGTACTGCTTAGTTACCTTATAGTAGCAGTGCTCACTTGCTTAATAGAAACCGATGATTTATTATTTTTTGTTGTTAATCCTCACCTGAGGATATTTTCTCCACTGATTTTTTAGAGAGGGTGGGGGAAGAGACAGAAAGAGAGAAACAACGATATATAAGAGACACATTGATTGGTTGCCCCTCGTACATGCCCCAACTAGGGCCAGGGATCGAGTCTTCAGCCCGTGGGCTGACACTCCAACCACTGAGCAAGACGGCTAGGCCCCTGTGAGTTATCTTAATTAAATCTAAAGACATGATTGCTGTGATTCAAATATGAATCATCTACTACCATTATTAGAAAACATGTATAATTCCCAAAAATCTGCTTGTTGATTCATATAACAATGTGGATTAATTAAATGCATTTTGCTAAAGGAAAGAAGCCAAAGTTAAAGGCTACGTACTATTTGATTCCATTTATGTGACATCCTAGAAAATTCAAAACTAAAGGGATAAAAAACAGATTAGTGGTTGCCAGGGACAGGAGGGATGGGCTGACTACAGAGGGTACATGGGAAATATTAGGGAGATAGAACTATTCTGGATACATGACCCTGTGTATTTGTCAAAACCCACAGAACTGTACATTATAAAAGGTGACTATATGCAAGGTTTTTTTAAAGTATATTTTTATTGATTTCACACAGATAGGAATGGAGAGGGAGAGAGAGAGGGGAAAACATCAGTGATGAGACAGAATCATGGATCGGCTGCCTCCTGCATGCTCCCTCCTGGGGATCGAGCCCGCAACCCAGGCATGTGCCCTTGACTGGCATCAAACCCAGGACCCTTCAGTCCACAGGCCAATGTTTTATCCACTGAGCCAAACTGGCTAGGGCTATGCAAGTTTTAAGGAGCAAGGATGTTGTGGTAACCCTGATGGCATATATGAATCAAATGAATCTAACTGTACTACAACGTAAGACATAATGTCATTGAAGGAGGTAGGGAAGAAAGGAGATGACTTTGAAAAAACATTGTTCTGTCTAGGTAGTGTAAAGCTAAGGACAAACACCACTGCACACAACACTGTGCTCTATCTGATAAATGTGTTTCTCATAGATACATACTTACAGATAAGGAGAGCCAACTTCTCACTGTCAGAGAAAGAAGTTATAAAAAGCAAAGGGGAATAGGGAATACGA